TAACTAGTGTGGATGGCTACAGCTAGAGCTTTAAAATGTGACCCGAGTTGATTAAGTGGCTCACAAATAAAAAGGCACACCAGAAGAATCAAGCATCAAAAGAAATTCTAATGTTTTAAAACAAATACAGTGATTTTTAGACATCTGCTGTGGCAATACTGAAAGCCATGGATCTTTGTACTTCCTGAGATATGTTAGGAAAGAACTCAGCAGTCTGGTCAGAAATTTCTGCCAGATTTTTTGATAATGCAAAGTCTTTGAGTATTTAGTTTTTGCGACACAACATTATTGAAATGGTAACAAGGAAAATACTGCTCTTGATCAAAATGTGGCCTGATGAATCCCCAGTGGTAAACTGACAAAAGTAGGAGGATTTCCCCCATAACTGGATTGTTTGGCTATATGGGAAGAAATGGCTGTAGTAACATTCAGATTTATTTCCAATTCAGTGTAAACATTGCAGTGAGAAGAACATTTATTTCAAAACAGGGACTCTAAAATGCATTGTCTCTACCATCAAAGAGAAAGAAAACATCTTATAGATCCTTTACAGAGTTAATACTGAAGAAGTTTCAATACAGTTTTGCGCTTTTTTGCAGTGCTTTCTAAAATTACTGTGGCTATGCAAATGTATATCTCTCTGCTGTTATATTATCTAAACTTCTTCCCATTTGCTAATTTATTTTCTTCACCATTTTATTTGGTCACAGTTTTCCTGAGGGAGGGCAGACACTGTGTTGTTTGTACAGTGCCTGGTGCAATGGGCTCCTAACGTCTATTCAGGATTCTTATGAGGTAGTGTTATGGAAATAATAAACATTTTATTTTAAAAAACAATAGAAAACAGTGTCTTTGAGAGAAAGCTGAAGAATAGAGGCTTTGTGGTATGAAATCACATCCAGCATGTGGAAAATACAAGATTTTCTGCATCTAACCTCTTTGGGGTGTTACATTTTCTTATCATTTTACAATGCAATCTGGACATTTACAAGTTGCCATCTTATTTATCTTAATTTGATGAAAATAATTGTCGAATAGATTTTTCTGCGTCAGAATTGAGTAGAGTGTGCATTTCAAAAGCATGGTGTGAACCCTGTTTTCTACAACATGATGTCCTAACATAAACCTAGTTACAATACTCCCAAGCAACAAAATCATTTTAGATCAGTAATAATGTACTTGTTCTTAGAGGGAGTTACTTTTAAGTTGTAAAAACCTGAACATAGAACCAGTAAATAACCAGTATCCATGAATGAGCTCAGAAAGTCTATAAAGTTAATTTCCCACTGGTGAACATGCTTTGACATCATTAAGGACACAACTTTGGTTTCAACCCTTGCAAAGCTGGCAGGTGAACCTGAACCAAAGCTGTAGTCACGAAAAGAATGGTAAGAAATCCCATAGTGGTATCTCTCCACAATGATCTCAGAACCTGACCCTGAGCTTCTTCAGATGCCCAGTTTATCTTTTCCTGGCATCTGCCCAATATGTGGAATATGTTTCATTGTCTTCAAAATTAGCAGGCTCTGTCTGTAAGGTGAAGACATAATTGAATAATGAAATAAGTCAGATGGTGGATCACTGCCATTCTCAAAACGAAATATTTCTCCAGGACTCCAAAATTCTGTATTATTTTGTTTATGATTTTGTCACTCCTCTCACCTTGGAGGAATGAAAGAAAATAGATTAGGAATTTCTTTAATAGATTCTTGGGCCAGGCTCCAGTATGAAAATGTAGTTGCCCAAAGTCTAACTTGAGAGGTCATGGAAGTTTTATTATTCCTATTTATGGTAGTGCTCTTCGCATTGCAGCCTCTTTCTACATATTTAAGTACTCTCCTGACCGTGTGCTCATAACCCTTTGTTGTTGTTACACAAATACCTTCATGGTAAGTAATCAGAAATAGCTTGAAGGGGCAAGTCTAACACATCAATGGAGAAAGAGACTGAAAGAGTCACAGGGTGGGTGTCAGGGATTCACAGGAATGGAAAAATTCCTTCCAGCTTCTTCCTTTCACATCTCTTCCGTGAACTTTGTTAGGATCATAAGGAAGTGCTCCTCCTGCAGACACTACCTAACTTGCAAAGACATGAAAGCACTGGAATAAGTAGAACAAACAGATGAAAGCGAGGAAGGTTCACTTTTGCTCTTGCATAATATGTGAGACTTAGTTGGAGGCACCTTCTAAAAGTGACCAGTTGAAGCAATGAGTTAAGGCTTTACTCATCCAGTTTTTCTTCATGAACTTTGGGGGGCCATCCTGACTCTCAAACCCATACACTACTACCCTCACAGCAATTTTAGGAGTCTGAAAACATTTCAGCTATAAACTGGAAGTGATTTTAGCAAGCTATTTTTCTACCAAATATTTTCTATGAGGAGACCTATTAGCACAGATTACTGTATTACATTCAAGTATTTCCGTATAAATCTATTGTAGCTTGTTATTATTACAGTAAGAGTCATGGCCAGATGAAATACCTGCAAACTTATGCATGTGTATCTAGTCAAGAGACAGGGTGTACTTTAACCATGACAGAACAATATTTGTATAGAAAGTATACTCTATACTGAGTAGATCTGACGTTGTGAGATTAAAAAGTTCAGCCTTGGTGACAATCAAGTATGAAATGCATTATTAAAACAATGCTCTAACATGACATTTTTTATGTAGGGAAAAACTTTTAAATTGGTATCTTTTTTTGCTTGTGAGTTAAAACAGTCTGAATGTCTCAGCTGGTCATAAAGCTGATTGATCCCACGCCATTTTCTTACTTGCTCCTCCTGATACACAGCCCATATTCCTTCAAATGTCTTAAGATTTTAAGTTGAAAAAAATCATCATTATAATAATTTCTTGCAAAATGCTTGGAATTGAGCTACTATCTTTGGGTTAATAAAAAATATCATTTGAAATCCCACATTTTCACCAACAGGTGGAGCTTACATTTTATATTGAATGTACAATAATTTTAAATCAAAATCATATATATTAAACCCAATACTTCATACCTCACAAAATTCAAAACTCCAGTGTTTCAGATAAGATTAGGACCATGAGATCTTATTCCAGTATTCCACTGTAGGCAAACAATGAAACCCTAGGCTAGATCCTTTTCTTACCAGTATCAATTGCAAAGTTCTCTATATTTTTAATGACTGTGGGATTAGATCCATTTTCATTTTTTTGTAGATATGGCCCCTTCTCATTATATTCTTATTGACTCCGTCTGCTCCCAGGTGTTCACACACATATTATTTGTCTTCTGTGCATAGGTTTCAACTGCAAGAAACTTGGTTGATCTCAGAACAGGGCTGAACCCACATCTATAAAGAAATATTGATGTGGATATTGTGTTTCAGCCCCCTTACACTTAATTCTTCCAGGGACAACACTAACATACATTGCAGCATCTGCTGTTATTTAACTAGAACAGTCTATTGATGGCAGAACCTTTGTCTAATGCAGAAAGCTATTTAGAATTACATCCATTATTTCTCCTGATTGAGAAATTACGTTTTGCAAATCCTTTAATGTCTTTATTTCTTTACATCTACCTAACAATATCCTTTATTATCTCTGGCTCTTTAGTAACATTCTAGCTTTCTGGAAATATCTTCCTAGCATTCCGTCGCATTGTCATAATAGCATGGAATGATACAGGCAAAATGAAAAAGAACTTCAAAATCCAATACTTGTTCAAAAGTGCTGTTCAGAAGGGAACTTCCTTAATGCACTGTGACAAAAGATATTGCAGAAATACCCTGCCAAAAGAGTTTTTGCTGCTACCAGTGTATTTCAGGATGAGCAAAACTGGAGAACGTCTTAAGAATGTATCCACAGATATAGATATACATGCACATAGATATAAGCACATGGACTTCCACGTTGGTATACTGTAGCTAAAATTCTGCTGCAACATGCAATTGCTCAGTTACATAGTTTCTCTTAAGAACACTAAATTACTAAACCTGTTTCTTTGCTGCTAATTTCCCAGTCTGATCAAGATGTGTATTGTATGACTCCAATTGTAAATTTCAGATATACAAAAACATAGAAGCAAATGAACTACAGGTTCTAGAATTAATCTCGATGCACAGAAATGAGCAGACAGTTGTGCAGTATCCAGACTAGCTGAAAAATAGCATAGTTATTGTTTCACTCAATTAAAAGAACAAAACAAAATAAAGCTCCACTGCAAACACATAAGACCAGTACATCTCAGACTGATCTGTAAATCTGTGAACCTGCATTTCCATTTGACTTCTACGTTTTTTGGAAGGCATCCCTTCCATACCCTTGTGCCTGTTCCGGGAGCCTGCAGGTGAAAAGTCACCTGCACGCAACAGTGTCAGACAAACCTCTCTGCCACAGAAATGGATAAACTACACTTTAATGCACAGTGATCAAAGAAAACAGTATTGGGTTTTTTATTGCCTAGAATCACTTTTGTCGTGGTACCACACTGGCACACCCAGAGGCAGAGCTATTTGGTGTCTATCCCTGCCAGCAGGGCCTACGGTTTCAATGGGGCCTGAAGTCACAGTCTCAAGCTGTGCCAGGGGAGGTTTAAGTCGGACATTAGGAAAGATTCCTTCACAGACAGTGTGATAACACATTGCAGTGGGTTGCCCAGGGAGGTGCTGGAGTCACCGTCCCTGGAGGTGCTTGAGGAAAGACTAAGGATGTTCTGGTTGAACAGAACACAGGTCATACATTGGACTCGATATGATCTCAGAGGTCTTTTCCAATCCAGCTGATTCTGTGATTCCCTCTGGGGCCTCATCCCTGAAAGGGGAAGTTTTCCGAAAGGCTTTTACTGTGGGCAGGGGAGACCCCGGGCTGGCATAGGCTCCCCGTTATTACAAGGAGCAACACGAAGAATCCCGCGCCATTCGGCCCAGGACCACCACCACCATCGGCACGGCCCCCCCCGCCCACCGCGCATGCGCGCAGCCGCCCGCCGGGGGCGACCGCGCGGCCCCGCCTCTGCCGCGCGCTTCGTCACGCGCGTGATAGCCGCGTACGCAGCGCAGAGCTCTTTCCTCTTCCGGGTCGGCGCCCGCCGTGCACCGTAAGGAGCCGCGGCATTGCTGGGGCGCTGCTTGGAGTGTCCCTGTCCGCACGAGCCGGGGACGCGGTGGGGAGAGAAAGCGCGTGCGGGCGCGAGGCGCTCCGCCTGGTCCACGTTCCGCCCCGGTCCTGCGCCAGGCCTTCCCTGGCCACGCCGGCGGGTTGTGCGCATGCGCAGCCGGGTCCTGGTCCTGCCTCCGGCGCCGGGAGCACGCGCGTTGCGGGGGTGGGGGGTGAGCGCGGGGCGGGGGGCGGAGCCGCAAGCCCAGGTTGAAGGGAACGGCACGAAAATGTGCCCTTATGTACATGTGCTTAAATGTCTGTGTGTGACGGCGGGGACTTGGTGTTCGTAATCAGTCTTCTTTAAAGTATTGAAAGGTTCACACATAGAGCAGTTGTGAGAGGGCTTTGGCAAAGCCGCAAAAACGGGGCTTACCTAAACCCCGCGGATCCATGCCGAGCATAAGCACTGGATGGATCCAGTAGTCAAAATACTAATGTTCGGAATTCAGCGCTTCTGTCACAATTTGTAAACCGTGTCTTGATTTGTAAAGTAGCCTCTTTACTATTAATCGGGATTTGCTGCATATAATAGAATCGTTTTTGCAATGTCTCTCTAGGAGAAAGGAACCGGAGTTACGGCTTATGGCTGCTCCAGGAAGGGTGGCAGCTTTCCGTCTGCCTCCCCTGCCAACTATTGGGGAGATTATTAAACTCTTTCGCCTAAAAGCCCAGAGACAACTTTCCCAGAACTTTCTACTGGATTTGCGATTGACAGGTTAAATACTTTTTGGTAATATTTTTAGTTAATAACACGTGTCCCAGTTTTCTTCAGAATCCAGAGTATAGCTAAGGAGGTGATATTTACATAATAATGTCAGACTAATGGCAGCTCAATGGGAAGCTTTTAAAGACTTCTTTTAAAGCTTAGCTTAATGAAATGATGCTTAATTTTAGCTTAGGCAAATTCTTTTTACTTGTTAATGCCTCAAAAATAGGTTTATTTATAAGTTACAATTTTTAGGTGAAACTACATTCCTATATAATATGTGGGTTAGTGGCTGAAGTGCAAAAATCCAAGCCTTAGTAGGACTTTTACCATTGGGGTGCTATTATAGTTTATAAGTTTAATTTAAAAATTAGTGGATTTTCAGATTATTGTGTGTCAGAGGAAGTAGTATAACTCATTGGGCAACTTAAGTTTGCTGTATGCTGTGGTTAGGAAGGTAATTTCTTTCAGTTTATCAGAAGTGTTGTAGCTTTTGAACCAGTTACATTGTTCTGAACAATTCAGTTTTCTCCAGCTTCATGTCAGCAGTGGGTGACAAAGCTGGCACTGTTCAGTCAGTGGTGGGTGTCTTGACTGGCCTAGTGACGGCTGAGTTTTGCAGTAACAAATTCAGTACAGCTTAATGTAGCTAATGATTTAAATACCTTTGAAGATTCAGGTTGATGAAAATTCAGAACATGAAACTCATTTCCACTTCCTGAACAACTGGACTCTTATCCTAGAATAAAAATGTCTGCATGCATTTTAGTAAAGCCTTACAAGCAGACAAGTTTTCAGATATTTTTATTGCATGCATAATAAATTCTGGAGTGAGAAGCATAATTTCTGTCAGCATCTTCTCTCCATGCATACTAAGGATCCCTTTGTTTCATTACCTATATTTTTAATCCTCGTTTTAGTCCTTAATCTGTCTCCTGGCTATAATACCTTCCAGTTTTGTATCCTTCCACTTATGTATGGGTGTTCTTCCCTCTACTTTCACCTGTCCCACTTTGTATAACTACCAGTTGCACATGTTCCAACTTGTAGTTTGGTCCAGTTCCTCCCTCATAAAATTGTTCTGTACATATTATATACATATTATAATCTTGATAGAGCTTCACTCTCTCTTTCTTACTCAAATTTCCTTGAAATAGAGATACCGTAAGTGACATTGTGTTATAAGGACAAGGAGTGAGACTTTAGGACGTTGAACACAAGTGCTTTCTGGCAGCACAATAGTACTGATAGCTTACAGATGAGTAATAGTCTCTTTTTATTTGATTCTGTAATGAGCATAATGTATACTAAAGATGTTAAACTAAAAATAGCCTTATTTAAATAGCTCAGTGTATCTTGTAGTATGAAACAAATCCGAAATTCTGTGCAGTCTAGCGGGTATGTGATCATTTAACTGATGTGTCACTGTTTGTGTCTGTCCTGAGATAAGCACGCCTGTGCTTTAGCAGTAAACAATGAGTTTATCTTAGTGAGTTGGATCTTCTGGAAAATAAAGGCTTAGTATGTTCTCTCTGTCTTGCAGACAAGATAGTGAAACAGGCTGGCGAGCTGAAAAATGCCCATGTTTGCGAAGTGGGCCCTGGGCCAGGAGGAATTACCAGATCCATTCTCAGTGCTGGTGTTGAACAACTCCTTTTAATTGAAAAAGATGCTCGATTTATTCCAGGATTGCAGGTATCAACTGAAGAATAATTTGTATAAATGTATTCACAGCATTGAATAAGAAAATTTTAAGAACACAGAAAGGCTCCAAGTGTCTTATTGAGATCTTAGCATTAAAAATAGTTTTGGTTTAGTGGCTTAAACCAGAGCTATAATTTGCCCAAATATGAAGATACACAGTATAGCAATTAATTGCTCCTACTTTATCATAGCTCTTCAGGACCTGATCCTGCAACTGAATTAATGCCAAGTTCTGGTGTTTTGTTTGTTTGTTTGTTTGTTTTGTTGGGGTTTTTTTGTTTTTTTTTTTTTTTTTTGGTGGTTTTTTGGTTGGTTTTTTTGTTGGTTTTTTTTTTTTTTGTTTGTTTGTTTTTTTTTTTTTTTGAGGTTGAGACATTTTGGGTGCATTTCACCATGCAGGTAAAATTGTAGTCAGAAGGCTGAATATAATGTGCTTTGGTCTTAATTTTCATTTTAATCCTAATAATTATGCTTTATAAAATTGAGAAGGCATATCTCCAGTTAATACAGTCCAGATACAGAAGAATAAAGGAAACATGTATTTTATGTTTTCAAAACACTCCAACTTCCTTCTTTTCTTTTAAAGTTGGTATAAGTTCACAAGTCATTGTGATGTTTTTCAAATTCCATTTACTTGTGGTGTTATTAAGTTTCCATGTTTATTGAAATTGGCTGTATAAATCTAGCAAGAAAAACAAGAGTCCAAAATCTTAAAATTTGACTATTTTCTCGTGCCTATACAGTCTCAGAGCAATTCAAAGGGATTTCCTTATATTGCTCTGTGTCTTCTGCAGTAAATTGGCAGTCAAATAAATAGGCAGTTCACTTGAGAATTGCTACCATTTCTTTGTAGGACAAAAATAATGTAAGGTATAAATGAAACTGCTCATATCCTGAAATCTGAATGTGCATGTAACTATGTCTTTTTAGGTTAGCCATTGATAACTTACACTATGCTTACACTTTACCTTATGAAGTATGAAACTTTCATGTTTTCACTCGAGTGGGCTCAAATCTTCATTTTTATTCTAGATTTTAAATTCTAGATTTTGAGAACTGTTTTGGGACTGAAGGGGATTTGAAATTAAATGACACTTGCTTTAGTTAACAGAACTTTTTAAGTTTAAGTAACTTGGACATTTTTTCTGAACTTCCAAAATGCATACACGTCGACAGATTTCTCTGAATAAACTGTACTTTCCAGGGTCTGTAATGAGGTTTTGGTATGTAATTATCTTCACTATTCAAATGTTTGTTGTTAATTTCAATTAGCAACCTCCTCGCAGTAGAAATGAATGTCTGAGGTTACTGAACATAGAGAGAGTATAACTCGGTGCTGGTGGATGTGAATGAACAAGAAATGCATTGCATCCATTTCTGTTAAATTTGGTATTCTTTTTTTCCCTACAAGTAAGAAGATACATAACACTGAATCTTTCCTTTCTGATAACATGGATTGTAATACCTAATTTTTTCTGGATTCCAATTGCAAACTACCAAAACCAGATGCTCATAAAAGGATTGAGATTTTAATCAGGGAAAATATCAGAAATTAAAATAACAATTGAGGGCTATTACTTAAAAATGTCTCTTTAGATACATTTAAAATCACTGATGCAAAGCATACCATATTTTTCATTGACTGTTTTCCAAGCCATGGTCTCTATTGCAAAACTGAAGTTGGGATTCTCTTTACTGCAAAACTGAATTACAGTGAAGAACATATGTGGCCAGAATTGAAGATTATACAAGCTGAGAGTCTGCCAGTGCTGTTTCCCTCTTAAAGAATCATAATCACCCTATGCCATATGCCCTAGTAGTTTTTAGGCTGGAAAGATTTATGAGGAGAGAAAGGGAGCAAGAGTGTGTATTGAATATGAAATGATTCCAGGAAAACCATTTTATTTTTTTGACTATGCCCCCCGTGTTGCCTTTGTGCTATTTTGGTTGTGTGTGAAGAATGAGAGGATCTGTACGATGGAACACTTTTGGCTGGTGTCCTTGGTGCACAGCAGCTCCTGGAACTGTGTTAGCTGCACACGTTTTCCCTTAAAATGGAAAAAGCTTCAATGGGTTTCCAAGTATTTTGAATTAGAAATATACGACTATGATTTTCTGTTCACAGAAATGCATTTCTCTTTTATGTAATGTGGTATTCAGCAACCCCCAAACTCCTTTTGACATGAAAACCATTATTAAAAAATGACACTATTTTCTACCTTATCTTACACTATCTTTCATCCTGCTGTAGCATTTATAATAGCGTCAGAGAAAGATTTGACAAATAGGAATTTGTATGCCATATAATTGCTAGTGTAATGCTGAAAAATCCATTAAGTGGTTTGGAATTGAGGTTAGTTTTGTCTTTCTGTTTGGAAGTAATTGCACTTAAAACTTGTAGGAACACTTAGTTTTTAGTTAATCTGTTATTTTAGCGCTCTATGCAGAATTTATATTCTGATAAATAAAAACCCCAAACTTTTGCTCAAAAAAATTTCACTCAGATATTTTTTGAACAGTATGAGAAAGCAGCACTTTCCTTTGGGTTAGAGACTGATGAAAGCTGTTTGTGCCCCTGAGCATATAAGCATCATTCTGATTGAAGATGGAACTAACAATGGTGAGCAGTTTATTTCAGCAGTTAGGTCACTGGCACTTAACTGTTTATGGGTTTGAATATCTATGCAAAAGCAAAATTGTTCGGTAAGCCATTTCTTCTTATTCTGATATAGGATCAATAAATAACCCCAAATGTCATAGAATCATAGAATCATATGATTTCATCTTTGAAAAAATTGGTCTTTCCTTTTGAATTGTACTGTCTGTGTGTAGTTTCACAGAGAAAAGATTAGTACTGCATTAAAAAAAAAAAAAACAAAAACTAATTTTGATTGTGGGAACTGACATCAGAAATGAAAAAAAATGGTCATCAAACAATAACTAGTTCTGACTTAAGATAAGCTCCAGAAGTGGGCTGCAGAAGCTGACAACAGTGGATTTTGTAATGCCTAGAAAGACAGAAATTTTTGAGATTTTTTCTGCTGCTAGGTACTCATTCTCTCACATGGGGCGATTCCTTGGTTTTTAATGGTACAAGTGTAGACTACTACAGGGAATCTCTTCCACTTTTTTTCATGTAAAATGAAAAATGACTGAATATTTTTTTAGTCCTATATTACACATGACTAAAATTTGATGATAGGCCCTAAAGCTGTGGGAGAGACAGGATAAACAAAATGAACCTTGTTTCGTAGATAATGAATCTAAAAACTTTTCAAAACCTGCTGCTTGCACTGTTGCTCACATCAGGTGGGGTCCTGCTAGTGGCCTGGGATTGTTAACTATTGTTGTTGAAAAGACTCTTGGCAGTCTTTTCAAGTTTGAATTCTCTTTAAAGATTTCTACAGCTGCAAATAGCGTTTATGCAATTGCACATTAAACATTTTTCTAGTGTTTACTTTTTGAAAATAAATACTAGCTAATAATGTACTCAGTTTAAACTCCTGTTGTGCTTTGTTGTATATTGAAGATAAGTACATAGCAATGGTTTCATTCCTGCTGTGGCTGAAACTGGAAATCAGTTTGGTTAATACTCACTGTGAATTCTGCTTGCTTGCTTATAAACAGATGTTATCTGAAGCAGCTCCAGGAAAAGTGCGCATCGTTCATGGAGATATCCTGACCTATAAGGTGGAGAAGGCTTTTCCAAAGCACTTAAAAAAGGACTGGGAGGATGGTTAGTATTTGCATTTGGTTTGTTTCATTTTTTTAAGGGCTTCTGAGTTTGTGGTGATAAAGTTGAATTTCACTCAGTGTGTTACTCTCTTCCGGTATAATTTGAAGATAAGAAAAGGCAACCTAAATTTTTTTGTCCCTAGAAGGAAACAGAATTGTCTTTCTCTTCTAAAACAAAACGGTGGAATTGGTATGACATTGACCTTAGCCAACATTTTGTAGCTTTGCAGTTAATAATCTTAGAGCATCTTGACTGTACAATAACAACTCATGGAAAGTGTAAAAGCTTCTTCCTCTTTTTGAAGAAGCCAGAAATGACCACTACTGTTGTTCCACTGAAGAAATTTCTGCAATTAGCTTTGAAATCTTTGGAAAATTTGTCCTCAAAACCTAGTTTTCTCATTGTTTTTTTCCAGCTGAATATCTGGCAAAAGTATTTAGATTTGTGTGGTTTGGTCTTTTTTTTAATTTAACTTTCCAATGGGACAGTATTTCACCATCCTTTTAATACACATAATATTTTAGATAAATCAGAAATGACCTCCCAGTCCCCTTTTCCAAATTTCCAAATTTAAGGTACAGTCATTCTTTGCACTACCTGAAGAGCAGTAAAGTGTTTTCTGACTTAGGACATGAAAAACCATGGCACATTATGTTCAGTTTGAAAAATTCCATGCTGTATTTACCCCATTGCAAAAGGTAAGTGCTTCACAGAACAAAACAATGGTCAAATGCATGTATGAGAGTGTAATGCAGTTTGTAAAAATTTACCTTTCTTGAACATACAGTTGTTGTTTTTGGATTTGACTGTCCCTAGGAGGAATGTGTTGGACAGAAATATGAGTATGGATATTAACTTTGTAGCTAATAATCATAGTTTACAATGACAGAAATGCTGTTAGAGCTTTGCTGTTGTTACAGCTTTGCTGTTGTAAAGTAGCTCAGATGAAATTTGCCGATCAGCTGAAAGTCATCTGAAAGCTACTGATTTATTCAAATGTAAATGAGAACCAAACCTAACCACTTTTTTCCAAGTAATTACTGAGATTAGTAACATAGTTTTGTCAGTGTAAGACGAGTATAAATGGAAAGGCATAATTTCAGTGTGGCATGATAAAAATTGTTTTCATATTTTAAGACTAGTTTGATAGGCACATACTTTTCTTTTGTGTTATTTCTTGGCAAAATCTTATCAAAACTTTTTGACAGTTGTTTTTCTTCCATCAAATGTCAACAGAACCACCAGATATACACATCATTGGGAATCTGCCCTTCAGTGTTTCTACTCCTCTAATCATCCAATGGCTTGAGAATGTTTCGAAAAAAAATGGACCTTTTAGTTATGGCAGGACACAGATGACGCTGACTTTTCAGAAGGAAGTTGGAGAGGTAAGATTTTGGCATCTTCCTAAAGTTGTACAGATGCTAAATTGAACAAAAATTTGTTTACGTGCAACCTTTTGTTTAAAACTTCAAACACAATCTTAGTCGGCTTTAAAAAGAGAGGAAAAGGGTTGGTTCAATTTTTAGTTTATGTGGCTGTAAATCACAAATTTTGATACTGAGTTAATCATCTGCTGTGATCCTCTCACAAGCGCATAATTTTTTTTTTTAATGTCTTATGGAAGGATATATTTTCTGGAGGTGCTCTGTCCTTTTCTGAAGTCTGAGTTCTTTGACATGGATAGATTGCACAGCACTCTTCTGATTTTAAATATCTGTTCTCTCACAGTCATTCATGTGCCATTTCATCAGTCAATTTTTCATTACCTTTCATTCATCTCAAGAAATACAGTTATATTTATTTCCTTTGTCTTCTTTATTAAAAAAAATTTTTAAATAACACATTCCTTGAGGTAAGGAAAAATGGAAGGTTAGCATTATTTCCAGTTGTGATTAAACACTTAAAGCAGGAGAAACTTGATATCAGAATTATTATTAGAACTGATAATGTATTGCAGCCATTCTTGTGTGTATAAAAAGGCATCAGTTGAGTTGTGTCACCACAAGTCCAAGGGCAAACTGAGATTTTATTTTGTGTTAATAGTTATTTTCCTTAAAGAAGGCCAGACTGATCTGTGATGCAGCAGATCCTAGATCCGTTGATATTAGGTTGACTTTTTCCACAATGCTTTTAGATTTAACAGTTTATTTTTGTTGTCAGTGCATGAAACATATAGTACCAGAGACTGAAAGACTTTTTACTTTGTATGTATGGCAGTGGTGTGGCTTCTCACAAGCATCTTGCTTTTAAAAAGGTAAAAAGGAACGGTGCATCAATCTGAAAACTGAATTTCCACCTAATTACTTCAGTGTTTGTAAATACCATGTTTTCTTTGTGCAGCCTAAATGTGTGTTGATTTTAATCCTTCAAAGTAAATTACTTGTAATGATATATGAAAGTGCTGTGTCTGCTGACATTTTTTGGGGTCAAAGAAAGCCATATTGTTCTGTCATTACTCTAGCTTTGCCATCAACATTCAAGACAGGTAGTGAAGTATTTCCAGTAGGTGGCTCTAAAGACACCAGGGACAAACATTTGGTATGAAATAAACCAGATTTCTTAATTCAGTTCTGGGCTTACGTGGTTTCAGGCATTAAAAAACACAGATCTGTTTTTCAGAAGGACTTCATGTCATGTAGGATTAGACCTTGTTGCAAA